GCCTGCATCCAAGTACCAGGCACAAGGCTCAATATTCCCTTGTCCGTCCTCCATTTTCAGTAACATCTCTTAACTTTGAGGCGAACTACAGGATCCAAGGTACCTGTGATCTGCACTCCAGAAGCATCTCGATGTACTTTAGGTACTCATATGGAAACAAACATACAAAAGAAAACCAAGAACAGATTGCACTTTGAGAATGTTTCCGATTCTTACTTTTTGGAGGGATGAAGCATAAAGTCAAAATTAGCCCTGACTTAATGTTTTCTTTTAACAACGTTATTTTTATCACTTAATCTTTGTATTTGTTACATAGAAGCACTTGATTTGGAGTAAGTCTGAAGAGAAACTTGACTTTGTTATCGTTAATTTGTATGCGTGTGTGTGAATGTGGGTTTTGCTTTTGGGACAATGTGAAAGCTTCAGTGGTTTGGCCTGTTTTTTTGTGTACAGTTAGATTTTAGCATGATAAAAAAGAGACAACAAATTAGTATTAAATCTGTTTACTTTGTCTCTGACAACATGTACTGTAAACTTGGAAATCATGTCATCAATAATTGATGTTTGCATGTTATTTTTTGGGTATGTGTGCACGTCATTGCCACAAAATATAAGTTACTCTACGTTTCTAACAGGTGAAAGTAGTTGTTTCATTCTCATCTCATTGCAATGCTTGTGAGAATACTTAAATATTGGAGTGTATGATTAATCGACAATGAAACATTTTTGGGAAACGCAGCAAGGAATCATATTGGTTCCTCAACTCAAATAGAGTTGAATCAGTCATTTTAGTGAGATCATATTGCACATTTTAGTATTCAGTGTTCATGCCAGAACTGATGTTTCAGTTCAGATTGTTAACCCTTGTGCGTCAATTTAAAAAAAGTTACACAGAGGTCCTTAGAGGACAAAAATGTCCATGTTAAAAACGGTCATAAAAATAGATATGAATATTTTTTTCCGCTTTCCTTGATATACATGTTTTTACCAGCATCCGTCCTGATCATAACTACCAAAAAATGCAATCATTTTTAGGATTTTAACCCTTTAAATGCTAGTTTGTTTACATAATGCCACTGTTTTTTATGAAAAAAAGTAATTATTTTCCATGTACTAAGCACTAAAACTAAAATCATTTTTCAAATGTTTTCATCACTTTAAATAAAATAAACCTTAACTGAAATGAAATAAAACAAACATTCTCACACACAAGTTACTCTACGTTTCTAACAGGTGAAAGTAGTTGTTTCATTCTCATCTCATTGCAATGCTTGTGAGAATACTTAAATATTGGAGTGTATGATTAATCGACAATGAAACATTTTTGGGAAACGCAGCAAGGAATCATATTGGTTCCTCAACTCAAATAGAGTTGAATCAGTCATTTTAGTGAGATCATATTGCACATTTTAGTATTCAGTGTTCATGCCAGAACTGATGTTTCAGTTCAGATTGTTAACCCTTGTGCGTCAATTTAAAAAAAGTTACACAGAGGTCCTTAGAGGACAAAAATGTCCATGTTAAAAACGGTCATAAAAATAGATATGAATATTTTTTTCCGCTTTCCTTGATATACATGTTTTTACCAGCATCCGTCCTGATCATAACTACCAAAAAATGCAATCATTTTTAGGATTTTAACCCTTTAAATGCTAGTTTGTTTACATAATGCCACTGTTTTTTATGAAAACTATTAATTATTTTAATAGTAATTATTTTCCATGTACTAAGCACTAAAACTAAAATCATTTTTCAAATGTTTTCATCACTTGAAATAAAATAAACCTTAACTGAAATGAAATAAAACAAACATTCTCACACACAGATTTTTCAGTACACACATAAGAACCACACTATAAATATGGAAAATAGTAAAAAAAAAAAATTTTAAACCGTAGTAAAAATGTTGAAGAATGAGAGCCTATTAACAAAGAATACATAATTTTATGCTTAATGGCACTGGGATTAAATATTGCTGTTTTAATGGGTTTCAGTGGGGACATGTTTGTCCTTAAGGTCCTGAGTGTAACAAATTTTTATACCTAGAGTAAAATAAAATCCCAATAAAAAATTTCACACACACAAATTTTTCAGTACACACATAAGAACCACACTATAAATATGGAAAATAGTAAAAAAAAACAATTTTAAACCGTAGTAAAAATGTTGAAGAATGAGAGCCTATTAACAAAGAATCCATAATTTTATGCTTAATGGCACTGGGATTAAATATTGCTGTTTTAATGGGTTTCAGTGGGGACATGTTTGTCCTTAAGGTCCTGAGTGTAACAAATTTTTATACCTAGAGTAAAATAAAATCCCAATAAAAAATACCAATTTTTGACAAAATTTATGCTGTTTACATTAACAGCCAAAATGATCAAAATAACAAAAATGAAAAGGACACACAAGGGTTAAAGAGTGTGTGTGTGTGTGTGTGTGTGTGTGTGTGTGTGTACACACGGGTGTTTCAGTAACAGGCCAAACCCACAGAAAGTATTTATGACATGAAGGAAAAACGTTTTGTTTTACAAATTAGTGGCAACTACCTGATGAGTAGGGACAAGGGATTTTAAAGCTATGTTTGCAGCTGTGGTCTGTGTATCTCATATCTTCATATTGTAACTGTCCTATTTTTGTATTTTGATATGTTTCTTTACACTATTACGAATGACATAATGCTGTTATCATATTATACATGTCTGCAATGTTTCCTTCTCTTTCTGACTTTGGATGTTGTCGTATTATTGACATGTTCATGTGAAAGTGTCAGTCGCTTTATACGATGAAGCTGGACTGTGTGTGTGTGCGTTTGGTGTGCATGCACTCTTTGATTTGCCACACATCTTTTTGTATGTACGTATGTATGTTTTTAATTTTAATCTATATTAATTTGCCGTGTTTCCAAACTACAAATGCTAGTAGTGATGGATGTACAATCTGCCAATATCAGAATCGACAAACTCATACACTCCCGCTGTGATAGTACCTGCAGTTTACATCCTCACACATGTATGTGGATGCACACATATGCAGTAGTCCAACATGCAGTATTACTGACAGAACAGATTCACATCAACCTCACAGTTTTGCACACCTCATAATCAGTGTTGATCAATTTGCTCAGCTCTTTGGTCTTTGTCTTTTACATTTTAGTGGTATAAGTAGTTGTCGTTTTTTTTATTTTTACATTTTGTTTATACTTTATTTTTTTAATGGTGAAAGCTGGTAACCATTGCATTAAGATGTGTGAATGTTTGAAGATGTTCAGTTCGACCTTTGAGGAGATGTAGCAGGAGCTGTCTAACACCTGTTTGACTTAGAATGGACCGATTTTGGTTTAAAAAATACTGAACGTTTCTGCACAATAAAAGGCATCATCAGTGATATGAGCTGTGTGAAGAGTTTTCAGAATATAAACCCATCTTATATTGCTGATTAAAAGGAGAGTTTAACATTTATCATGCAGTTGTACAAAAAGAAGCTCTCAAGTTTATCATGAATGTGACATTTAAACTTGGAAGAAAAAAAATCTGGGAAAATCTTTAGCAAATAACGTCTTAAATTTTGAGCAGTTCCTTGCACAAAGCAATTATACCGTTTCAGAAAACATGAGTCGTAACTACTTTTGGAGATAATTCGATCTTTTTGGAGCTTCACAGTCATAGTCACTACTTTCATTGTAAAACAAAAAACAAACTGTACTTTCCATTAAAATAAAGTCATACAGGTTTTGAGCAACATGAGAGAGAGGATGATGTTGAATTTTCATTTTTGCGTGAACTATCCTTTTAAGACTGAATAGCAGTATATCATTCATTCACTAGTTGGCAATATTTATCTTTCAGACTGAAAAAAAAAGCATACCAAGAATGATAACTAAAAAGATAACTGTATTAACATCCACACCAGCACATGATAACGTTCTTCTTATTATTATTATTATTATATGCAGTTCTGTCATCTGCTGTTTTAAAGGCTCAAACTTGTTAAAGTCAGGTGGATTCTGATTGGCTGTCAATGATTTTATGGTCTATCATCGCCCATCTTCCATGTTTTATCGACCTCTTATCTCACAGTTTTGACTTTTTTTTCCCCTCAGAATTGTGATACAAACTTTGAAATTTGCAGTTACCTTTTTTTATTTTTTCTTCCGTGGTGGAAACAAAAACGATTGCGAGACGTAAACTATAGGCTAGCTATAATCTATAGATAATATATATATATATATATATATATATATGATAGAATAGAATAGATTATCTGAAAAGCTATAGATAATAGCTTTTCGGATATTTGTGGAAAAGTCAGAATTATGAGATATAAACTCAGAATGGCAAGAAAAAATATGAGTTATATATGAGTTTATATCTCACAATTCTAACTTTTTTCCCTTACATTTCTGTTTATATCTATTTAATTCTGTTTCTGAAACAGGCTTCCATATTATCATTATATGGTGCGGTATGAATAGGCCTTAACAATAATGACAGACGACGTTAGAATCACTATCAGAACAATCAAAAAAAAACATTGACAGCCAGTCACAATCGACGTTCATTGACCAAGTTTAAAAAGGGTATGATGCGACACTATGGACCACACAACAGCCATTCAGAAGAGTTTCTTTCTGTTTGCATGCTCCCTCACACTTGCTGCGGTTGACGAACACAAGGTGTTCTTATACGTAGATACCATCAATAATGTCTAAACAGTCCTTTTCTTTAAGTTTTGTTTAGGGAGTCCACTTGTCTTCTAAGGTAAACACAGGACCACTAAAACATGTAGGCAGCGAGAGTTTCCCCAGCCAACACATTCAAACACCTTCACATACCCCTAATTTGGTATAGTCTTGTATTGCTTATTGGGAGAGAGTTAACTATACTAAAATGGAAGTGGTTGGTACAACAATGCCCTACAAGGCAACCCATACTCCCCCCCACACACAGAGTACACCCACACTCACAGCTCTGACATAGACAAATAAACTAAATCAAAGATCATTCTGAATATTTATTATGATACACAGCAGACGATAAAGAGGGATGTCAAATGACTTACAAACATTTAGACAATAGGTTAATAAAAATAAAAAAAACTACAATTAAGAGCCAATCAAAATGTCCCTCACAGTTTAAGACAAACGGGCTGAATACAATAACTGCTGGATTGAATGGCTGAATGGAAGGTATTCAAGCAAACCTATGAACAACAGTGGAAGTTTTTGGAATGAAATGAGCCATAATTCTCCAGAAATATGATAAAAGGCACTTAAGGAAAAAAGAAAAGAAAAAAAAAAGCTTAAATGGAAATGAAAAATCACATACATGGGGGGCCTGACGGACAAAAATAAAATAAACGTGTTTGAATTCTTCAACCGCTCATGACCATCCTTACGAGTTCTGTGGAAGAAAGAAAAAACAAGAATAACTATGAGGCAGTGATCCAAGAAAATTCAACACCGTAGATCAGCAAATGTTGCCATGGACACTACACGTGAAGTTCTAGATACTTCTAGACCCATAAAAGCCACAGATCGTACTAAAACAACAGACTTCATGTGTAGCTCAGTAACATTTCCCTGCAACAACAGGAGGTGAAATGCAGAAGCCCCAGGATGATTTGAAGGAAAAGGGGAGGAAAAGAGATTGTCCAGGCCTAAAGACAATTAGAACGAGTTAGCATACCTTATAAAGGCATGGGGAGAACAGATACATACACAAGTACTAAACAGATAGAAAGCAGGAACAGCAATGTAACAGGACTGGAAACTAGAATCAACAATACACCTCTTTACAAAGCCTCCTAAGGTAACAACAAATGTTCAAATTACAAAGTAGGAGATTCTATAACGGATAGGGCTGCGTGTTTACACAAATTTCACAAGCTTGCAATTTGATTAAATAATTATCTTGAATAAATTTGATTTGATATTGATTCATTAGGATATATCAGGTACATGTCAATTTTTCAAGGAAAAACCTCTCATAATTAATGCTCTAAGCTATACAGGGAACCCTGTCAAGTTGGTACATTACTATATTAAAGGTCAAATAATAGCCTTTCAAAATTAAGGTAAATGTAACATTATGTGACATATTGTTTACAAGCTGTTTTATTGACGTCTTTCCATGATAGATGATTTGTTCGTGCTTCAAATGAAAACAGCATAGACCAAAAGATCAATTCTTGGGATTTGATAAGTGTTATGGGTTCATCAAAATGAGATATTGACTAAAATCGAGAAATTTGTATTTTTAACTCAGCCCGAATCCACTACACTGGCACCGTTTTAGCCTTTAATATGATGCTGAAAGTCATTTTTCTTTCACAATACCATCAGCTTCCATACACTCTATGGCTACACTTAATGACCAAAATCTGTGTATTGAACATATTTAAGTGGATTGATAACTGTATTTGGCTGTATTGTGTGTATATGGCCTATAAAAACTAGTGCAAGCAAAAGGGATTTGAATATACAATATAAAAATTGTAACATGTATTTCAGAATAAAGTGGAATGACTTGTTTGGGGGGAGGTGGGCATCAGGGTGAGCAAATTTAGCATCATCATGGCAACAGTGGGATTCAGGAGACGCCTATGCACATGCAGAAATGCTACATGCTACGCTACAGCCAGGGGACGCAGTAGAGAGGGAGCTGCAGGAGACAAGAATGAGTCAAAACAAACAGAGGACCATCCGTACCCTCTCCTCAACCAGCCATAATGTGGCGTACAAATGCTGTCAGAAGGAAAGGCAAATGGATTAAACACGGACTTCAAAACTTTTGCTGTAGTCTTGATGTTCAGAGAAGAAAAAAAGACACATATGTGATTGTTGTACCTTCATAATTGATGCAGCCATTAGCATCCTCATGTCCTGCCAAGAGCGTCTCCACCTCTTCCTCTGTCATCTTCTCACCTATCATAAAACACGGGCAAGCTGCATCAAATTCTTCTCAAAAACGATTTTTCATTCTGTTTTCAACAAAGTCATTCTGAACAATTTGTTGGTGTTTAGTCTCTTTAGGATTGAAAGGACTGATATTTTATTCAACAAAAAAAAAGTGTCATTCGATACAAATTCAAATCTTAAAAATATATATTTAAAATAAAACGGTTCTTGCAGATAATATATTAAATAAAATGCCATTTAAGTGTACTTAAACACTCATGAAAATCTTCAACACTTACGTACAATGCAATAATGTTCAAATTAAAACTTTCTCTTCAAGGTACATTTTAAATCAAGAATTACAGATGCACAATTATTTGAGGTGTTGACTAACATACTAAAGTACATGTAAAGTACTTCATTATACTTTTAACTGTAGTGAGTTACCATACTACATTTTAAGTTAATATGTTTTAAACGTACTAAATTGCAGCTTCATCATTACAAATGTCTCAATATAAATTACATAATATATTAGTTTTCCATAAATGCCCGTCAGTACATTCAGCAGAACACATTAACCATGTTTTAAAGGGGTCATATGATGCGATTTCAAGTTTTCCTTTCTCTTTGGAGTGTTACAAGCTGATTGTGCATAGATAAGATCCCTGAAGTTGCAAAGACTAAAGTCTCAAAACCAAAGAGATATTCTTTATCAAAGTTAAGACTCTGCCACGCCCCCCTAAAACGGCTCGTTCTAACACGCCCCCACATACCTCACTATGTGGAAATATTAGCATAATGCTGCCCAAATGTGCACGCAAAAGCATGTCAACATATTCTGTTACACCAAATACACAAAATAATGATCTTTAAAAAAAGCATCATATCACCCCTTTAAAGACAATAGAAGTAATAACACCTACTTAAGTGGGTCAAATAAAGCACTCTAAAGATCAGCTAATTGCACCATATACAAACTATAATGCATTTTCATTGAATTGCGATTAAAGTCCAATTAAGTGTCTAAAAACATTACATTCAGTTTGCACTTGAGCAATTCTTTTACAGCATATTATTTCCGTCATAATTACTCTTTTTAAAAGTATGCTAACGTGTAAGCAGCTTTAGAAAGAATAGCATTCTTTCTCAGAGATGACAATAGCAGAAAAAAAAAATCCTAAGTGGAAGAAACTTTGAAAATGATCAAAGAAAGATAGTATTGTACATTACTGTACTGTAATATCATTCTAAAAGAAGCAGTGACTCTTTACCCAGCGTAGTTAGGACATGTCGTAGCTCAGCGCCCATCACCGTTCCATTTCCCTCTTTGTCAAACACACGCAGCCCCTCCACAAAGTCCTCAAAGGAACCCTGATCCTTGTTCTTAGCGATGGCCTGCAGCATGGGCAGGAACTGCTCGAAGTCCAGCATTTTCATGTTCATATCTGAGAAAAAGGACATTAAAAATCACTCTTATTTTCATTCATGCCAACATCTTAACTCACTAAGAATTAAGCCAAAAATTATTACTTTATCATTGAACTATAATTGTGGAGAATACAGACACATTTAGATTAAATCAGTGGGACTGTTTGAAGTGAGTCTGAGTGCATTTAGACTGATTAAAGGTAAAAAAAAAAAAAAACAGTATAGCTTATTGATCAGGGGAAGAAACAGTGTCATATGGGTTTGGAACAACATGAGCGTGAGTAAATGACAGACTTTTTTATTTTTGAGTGAACTATCCCTTTAAATGAATGGGACGAGGCTTTCAAACATTGTTATTTTCAGTCAATAAATCTGGCATGATTCAACCTTCCATATACTGACAACATTTAACATTAATATCATTTCCTGTTCTAAAACAAGTCAATAAATGCATATTTTTTAGCAAATAATACAGGCCAATGCATGCCTAAAAGTCACAGAAGCCAAAGACAGGCCTGACCTTCATTACTGGGGTTGCCCAGGACTTTGAGGACCTCTGCATTGACAGGGTTCTGCCCCAGAGCACGCATCACATCCCCACACTGATTGTACATTATCTTCCCATCTCCTGTTCGGTCAAACAGGAGGAAGGCCTCCTTAAACTCTGTTAGCGAGAGAATGAGAGTGAGAAAATGCATTAGGCGGGGGATGCAGAAAATTATTTGTAGTTATGTGACCTGAAAATGACAATGAGTAAAAATTCATGTGATTTATTCTAGCAACAAGCACATCTTAATATAAAATCATTAGGCTTCTAGTTCATGCTTGAGGCTTTGAGATCACTATCATAGCACTTGGCAGAGCAGCTTACAGGAATGCGATGCTTCCCGGGCCACCCTGAGTCAAACTTAACACACACACACTTACTGTGATTAACCATATATGGGCAGAAGAGAGAACAAGCACTACATCAACAGGAATATGACACACTGTACACCATGTAATCCACCGTTTAATGTATGAGATTTTAATTTTTTTTAATAAACAAGGGGGGATACTACATAACAGACAACACAATAATTAAAAATGTGTTAAAAAGAATATACCAAAGGGACACAAGAATGGTACTGAACATCTTTGCTGTTATTGTTGTCTTTAGCTTGTTAAAATTTAAGCACAGCAGTTTATCATGAAGGAAGTGATAGATCTGATTTGTTGTTATTTGTAAGGAGAAAGTTATGTTGCCTATACTCTCTCTGGAGTCTCTTGACTTGATTGGTAAACACGCAAAATTTAATAAAGCACAATAAGACTTGTTTTGCTCATGAACAACTCTGTGTTATGAAGTAAGCATGAAATAAAACGTTACACTATCAATTTAATAAATGTTGATCTTATTGTGAATGATTCATTATGACACATAGCACACGATACCACGCCACCTCTGCTAAAATATTTGTAAAACAGATCATATTATTATTATTTTCTTGAATTCAACAACGCCAATCAATTTTCACATTGACACATTCCAGTAGCAGCAGCTTCCGGTCCTTCAAACGCGACGCATCTGTAAACTGCCTGCACTTCAACCTCAGCATGTCAGCACCAGAAATGAATACAAAAGAAACCTCCTCATGTTTCTGTTAGGTTTGGACACTAGGTACAGCGAGCACAAGCATGTACACCTTATCAAGCCCATCTGAGAGCTAAGCATTGACTGCACATCTGTCAGCCAGTTTAACTGATGTGCAGGCCTACGTTTATTTTGCATTAATCGGCAAAACAAACGCAAATATATAACCACGACGAAATTCATAGCATCATAATATTTAAATAGTCAACATTTATTACTCACCACAAATCTGGTCCTCTGTGAAGTCAGACTGTCCATGCCAGGATTAATGGAGAAGAGAAGATCAGCGTTAAAACAGAAGATGCATTGGTTTGTTATTCTAAGGATTCTAAGATGATCCTACAAAATAAAACACACAGAGCAAACCAAGGCACATTTGAATATTAAAGGCGTGAGATATTGGACTGAGAGCAGAGCTTGGTGGCATAAATACCTTATGATTGGGGTATCAATGTCATGTCCGTATTGGTAAACTGACTGCATGACTAATAGGCGTTGCCTGCATTATAGTGAAAATGAGAGATGGCTGGCTATGATAATGTACTTACCATGACTGCAGCGTTTGAGGATGGAGCGAGAGAGCGTCGGTACGAGCGCTGTGTGAATTACAGTATGGGCGCACACTCTCTGCCACACCGCTATATTCACGATGACGTCATGTCAGCTCGATTCAAGCCGAATCGGCCAATCAAATAGTGCGGCGCTGGTTTCCCTCTACTGTCATTACCGGTGTGTCATAATTATAAGCGCAAATAAAGAAACTTTGAATACCGTAATGCAGGGTTTTGCGAAGGACCTGCAGGAGTTGGTAAATTGATGCACATGAACATTTACGCATTTGGCCTATTGGCAGACACTTTTTATCCAAAGCGATCGACTTACATTCAACGTACACATTTGATCAGTTCTTTATACTGTCCCAGGGAATCAAACCCATGACCTCGACGTTGGTAGCTGCTTGCATTACTGTTTTGGCTACAGATGAAAAGCTAATATTTAAATCGAATGTAAAATTAAAATAAATAAATAGGGACTGCAGAATTAATTGAAGTAAAAAATTAAAAAATCACGATATCAGTTAGTGTGCTTATCAAATAAAAGACATAATTATTTAATTAAATAAGTAAGCAGTTGAGCATTGAAGCGCGGAACTGTTCATTCACAGAGAGAGAGCAAGCGCAAATCCTGGCAGCGGCAGGTCGCAGCGCCGCTTCCGGTGGCATCCCCAGCTGCCACTGGCAGCTGCCAGAGTTCGTGGCAGCGGCCACGGTCTTTCTCGCCGTTTCTGCTGTTTGCTCGGTAAAACTACACTGTACTCAGTGGCGTGCGGTGATGTTTTTTTTAAATGATGATGCAAAGTTCCCGCAATTGTATTATTATTATTATTATACATTTTTATGTATCAGTTGCCATAGTTCTTGCCAGTAGTCAAAGGCAGCTGCCAGAGTTCGTGGCAGCTGCCACGGTCTTTATATATATTATACATACATAGCACCAAATCACAAACTGACTTATCTCGTGACACTCTACATACATGTATGTAAGGGCACTTTACAACATTAACTGCAGAGACCCAACATTCCCTCATTAGCAAGCACTTGATGACAGCAGCAAGAAAAAAGTTTCCATCTCTCTAGAGGGCTGGGTGAAAAAAACATGGCTCATAGCATTGTATTGATGATGTTCTCTGTCTGCATGGTATAAAACTATTTTTCCATTTTCTTCTTTGCATATTACCCTAGACAGAAGACATAATACAGCGACTGGAAAGAATCATATCTGTGCCTGGAACTGCAGCTGAGAAGCAGATGTTTCTAACAGAAGTGATTTTGCCTGAGGTGAGCTATAGAGATGTGTACTAAATTAACAATTAGAATAGGAATTTAATTTAAAGCAAAGAAATTGATAAGCAAGTGATGGCTTTGAGGCCTCTAAAGCTACGGGTGTCAATATAATTTGAGGAGCAACAATCAGAGATTATATACCAAGTACAATAAAATGGAAGCATGACTTCACACTTCTTCTTTAATTGTTGGCTTCCAAACTGCAGTACTTCAGTATAAGTAGCAACTTAATTGAAAAGATTAAACTGAAACCTTAAATGTGGTTAAAGTTGTCTGTTTGTCACATTAAAATTAATACTGTACATTTCTTAGGTTCTGATTTATTGGTTGCAAACCAATGTCAATATGTGCCGATATATGGCCGAATCTGTGCTTCTGAAGTGCACATCTTTCGAAGGAAAGAAAAGGTAGAGGATATTTTTTCATTGTGGGTGTTCATACTTACTCTTTGTATAACATCTCTAAATACATTCTTCCTGTCATGACATTAGGAGATTTCCATGTCAAGCTGATGCCATTGTAATTAGGTACCGATTTTCTTTCCCCCCCCAGTGTTGCAGAGATCAGAACAGGTGAGGACTATTATTATACATTTTTATGTATCAGTTGCCATAGTTCTTGCCAGTAGTCAAAGGCAGCTGCCAGAGTTCGTGGCAGCTGCCACGGTCTTTATATATATTATACATACATAGCACCAAATCACAAACTGACTTATCTCGTGGCACTCTACATGTATGTAAGGGCACTTTACAACATTAACTGCAGAGACCCAACATTCCCTCATTAGCAAGCACTTGATGACAGCAGCAAGAAAAAAGTTTCCATCTCTCTAGAGGGCTGGGTGAAAAAAACATGGCTCATAGCATTGTATTGATGATGTTCTCTGTCTGCATGGTATAAAACTATTTTTCCATTTTCTTCTAAAATGTATAATAATAATCATAATCATAATCATAATCATTTTAAAAAACACCACCGCACGCGGCATGCCACTTAGTACAGTGTAGTTTTACCGAGCAAACAGCAGGAACGGCGAGAAAGACCGTGGCAGCTGCCACGAACTCTGGCAGCTGCCTTTGTATGGCGTTATTTTAATGACAAATGTCGAGAGCGCATTATTGTAGCGCGAAAGCACATTAATACA